TGACCTCTCTTATCGCGACGCAGATCACGTGAGCGTGAAAGCCACGTCTTCGAAACAAAAACGAGCCAATATATTCGGAGATGCGTGTAGTCGATATTTGGAGACAACGTCTTATATGGACGTACCAGAATGCGTCCCACAGCATTGGTACGTCATATAGTGCCGTACTGACGTTTCACTGCACATTACATTTCTGACTGCATGCGCGCGCGTGTTGTAAGCAAGCCAAATACAAAGCCGGTCTCCAGGTAAGTCAATGCGTGCGCGCGCAGTCAAAAATGTAATCTTGATTACAATGCGCATGTGCGCGCGCAATACGGCAACGTATGCCGTATAAGTGCCATTTTTGAATTACGGCGCTCTATGCCGTACTGGGATTGTGGGATGCGTTCTGGTACGTCCATATAAGACGTTGTCTCCAAATATCGACTGCACGCATCTCCGAATACAATGACTCAACAAAAACAACCTCAACAACGTCTAGCACCGCACTCCGATCCTGGCTACGTGGTGTGCGCCCGCCCTGACCACAAGCTAGCCAAGCACCCGCTAAGGAGAAGCAGAAGGCTCCAGGTACATTCAAACGAGTATAGATACAGACGTGAGATGAGCTCTGGAGGAAATGTAAATGCAGCGCCGAAATTAGGCTTTCTTGGCAAACGCGAGGTTCGTGCGTGGTGAAGCTTATTGAGTAGCGTACTGCGGAGCCGCAGGGGACAAGCGAGGCATTCGTGTACCTCATCTGCGCTTGTCCCCTCTTTATTGACCACGCTGCAACGCTCGCTTGTCAATGCTGAATCTGAACGCAGTGTCGCAAGCGGAGGAGGTGACGCTCAAATCTCCGAAATCGTGACGGCACAACACTGTGGCTCAAACTGGTAAGCTTGCTCGAAGTCAGGAGGCGTGCCATTTCCGGATCTCTCCACTGCGCGAGACTCATGCACGACTGCCAAGCTCACGACTTGGCGCTAGAACGTTTGCGCACAAAGAATCGTGCCCTCCTCAATACGGCTCTGTCCGCTTCAACGTCCAGTCCACCTATGGCGCCGGAAGCTTTTCCTTGCTGTCGGTGACCTGTAAGCATCCATCTTTTGAGCGTCGCTGTAGATGCACAGACATGTTCGATATGGGACCTGCCGGCGTTTCCTGTTCGCCTGCTGATGGATGCTAATTTCAGCAGCAACAGTCTTGCTGATTTCACGTGAGGGGAAGGTCATGTGCCAAGACTTTGAGGCCGCATGCTTGCAGCAGCGCTTCTCATTTGGGACTCGATCGAGCCTTTGTGCGAGCAGCAGCACCATTGTCCTGACCTTTGACCTTTCAAGATTTGGACCATGAGGACGGTCTACGAGGTCCAAGGTGAGTGAGTAGTCGTCACTATCACGGCCAAGAATTCGCTCGATACGCTTCATCTGGTCTGCGCGCGCATGTACCTACCCACCCCCAGATGCTTGCACAGGCGCCACTGACGGCAGAAAGATGCTGCAAAGGTCATCCATCCATCCATCAGCATCCTACCCTACCCGTCCCAAAACTCATGCCGCGCTGCTAACTCAATCGTGCGCTTTCTTGGCAAGGCCAAGAGCTCTGCGCTATCCGCTAGCTTATCATCACTGCTTGCCAAGGCGGTGGTAAACAATTATCAAAGTTGCACATCTCCGCACCGCGCATTCTGTCGTTGAGCAGCGCGGCCGCTGTCGCTGGCGGGTTCAAGATGTGGGGAAAAGGACAACCGCACAACCGCCGCCCGCAAGGGCCACCCGTCGGATGCACGTTTGGCATCGCGCGGATGTGGCCGTTACGATCGGCTGGTTAATCCTTGTCCTTCGATTCAGATCTGGAGGAGGGGGCGGGCAAGCATTCACCATTCAGCAATCGAGTGATTCAAATTCAGATTGCGCGCCATGAGCGTCATCCTTCGCCAGAGCTACGATTCGCGATAAGAAACACTCACTGCCCATGGCTCATCATCTGACTGCGCCCGATCTCTGTCTGCACTGACCGACACCGCGGTGCAATTAAGTCCGACGGTCTCAATCGTGAAAATCGATAATGTGAATAGAGTGACTGCTGCACGCTTGCTCATGCACTCACACCACTCGTCATTCACGATTTTGTACAGCCGCTGCGCGTGGCTGCAGCACACGAGGCTCTTCATGTCCAATCACAATGTGAATAATTTCCTCATGGGCGTGCGCGGACAGGAACGCTTGCATGCACCCACTGGAACCGTCGCCGCCATTCACATTCAGCTTAGTGTGATGTCGCAATCACGCCTCGGCTTCCTGCGCACACGACAACTAATGTGTGCATCCCTCAAATCGAAGGAGCTGTCGAGCTGCTTAGGGCTGCGCTCTAGAACACGCCGAATGCGCATGTAGCGGGGTGGTCAACGGACGGCACCTGCATGTCCATGTGTAACATTTTCGACTCAATGCGCAGCGTGCGTGCGTGGGGAGGAAAGGTCGGAATATTCTTTGACCACTCACGACTACGGGCGAGCAAATTGTGGCAGCGTTCAGCAGCAGTCGGCGGTTGATCGAGCGCGCGTGGCTGTCACCGCCGCATTCGTAACTGGATCGACGCAAGAGCAGCGCGGCGAGCGGCGTGCGCGTGCGCGTGCGGCTCTGCGTGCGTGTTGTGTGTTTGCCCTGCAGAGCGGTTAGCCGAGACATCATCAATCCAGTTCGCACTCGCGTCATTATTCGCC